CATCTGGGAAGCTGGCCTAGGTATCTCAAACAGACTGTCTTCTCAGAGAACATGACACCTAAGAGGACATCGGGATGTATCCCAATAGAACTTTGGTACGGGAGGACTTTCCCGTTGAGGCCTTGATACCTACCTGGAACAGGTAAGATGATGATCCACGAATGACCACGGAAGAGTTAATCGAGGCTAGGTGTCAACAGGTCCTTAAGAACGAAGAGGTCATGAAAGACATCGCCAACCCGGTGCTAGACAGCAAGATGAGGGACAAAGCAAGGTGGGACCAGGTTAAGAATGTCAGAAAGGAACCACTTCAGGTGGGGGAGACAGTATTGCTAAGGAACTCGACACTAGAAAGTACTTGGTCTGGACAGCAGGGGAGGAGGTTCAAAGGCCCCTACCGGGTCGCCAAGCGGGTGGGACTGAACACCTTCGAACTAAAAGATTTGGATGGAACTGGATTGAAAGGACCTTTCCCAGGGCAACGATTGGTCAGGTTTCTAAGTCGGGGCCGAGTGGAACAATGGCTTCAGGAGGCTGAGGATAAGGAAACTAAGGGGTTACAAGCTAATGACTGACAACGGCCTTGCCCACACTATGGTTATGTCTCTGACCACGTCCGTGGGACGGTCATTTTTTTGGGGTTGGGGCAATGGTTTGGAATGACTGAGGTTGGAAGACAGGATGACTTGGGATTTTGCGGTAAACGGGTTTTGTATGACGACGGGAAAGATTGTCGAGAACATTGTATCATAGTTTTTAATGGGAAAACGAGGGGATCATCACGAACGGGGCATTTTGCATAAGAGAGGGAAATGTACAATAATGGCATAATGCGAAGGAGACTGGGACTAAAACGGGTGTATGAGGGGTTTTGCGGGTGTTGTTTTGTTAATATAAGATCTAGAAGAAAAGCACAAGAAAAGACAAAAATGGAATTCGGCAACGAAAATGACAGCGGGGCAATCAACAGGCCTACCGGAGGGGAAGAAGCGGGACCAAGTCGAGGGAGGAGGACGGCAAAGAGAAAGTTGTACATAGGGCTCATAGCCGGGCCAGTGGTAGGCAGGGGTGGAAGAAAATGCGTATGCAGAAGACCTTGCCCCTCCGGGAGGGAGAAGGTATAGAGATCTCATCTGAGAGTGAGGGCGAGAAGGAAAGGGCAAGTGTGGGAGAAGGGGGCAATGCGGACATGGGAAACAAGGCACAGGCCCCTGACGAGGGAGGTGCCAACAGGGGCGAACGACGTGAGACTTGGCATGGGGAAAGCGAGGGGGGACAGGACATGCACGACGAGCGTGAGGATAGGGAGGAGAGAAGAGAAAGCCCGCTTGAAGGACGAAGCGGCCATGGCAGTTATGAGGGGTATGGGACAAGGACAGAGATTCCTTATACATACGATCCAAAGAACCTAGTGGGAGGGTATAGCCCCATACAGACGGAGGACGAGGAGGAGGATGTACAAGAAATCATAGAAATCAGCAGCGGGGATGAGAGGGATGAGATCTTGAGGCCTAGGGAAGAGAGGCAGCCTCCGATGCACCAGCCGCGCGAAGAGACCTTCAGATGGGAGGATGAGTTTGGGCCAATGCCCAGTCATTGGTTTCAGCAATGGACCAATGTGATCAAGCGCGAATGAATCATAAAGACCCGGAAACTCGCAAAGGCAGGGGTGGAAACCACGCCGTTGGACTTTTTCAGAGAGGCAGAGTTACAGGAAATTGCAAAGAAAAGGAGAGATATCGAGACCTTCAGCCTGGGGGTTAGAAAGCCTGCCGAGGAACAGGGTGGACAAGGAATCGAGCAAGTTGAGGCACAAGGCAGCAATAGGATATAGATGTTGATTAAGTGTTGAACGGGAATCTTGCTTTCTCATTTGCAAAACATTGGAACGACAAGAATGTGTATAGTATGAGTAAGCGTGCTAAGGATGAGTGATGAAAGGGCCAACTAAGGCTGTGTCACGATAAGTTAGAAAAGCATTTTGAGGTTACTTTCTGGATGAGCTACCTTCGAAAGTGGGTACACACAACAACGACATGGGGCATGGGAAGAGACCAATTGGGAAGGGTGTATTGTGAATTTTGGATGGAATGAGGATTGTGCTTTTGTGAAGAGAAACGTTGAGTACAGATTGACGAACGAACCATGGCATTGAATGTTGGTCGAGTACAAGAGAGGTTAGGGAACCTATGGGTTAAGGGGCGTGAGGAACACTCCTTCCCTAGGAGCCTAATCCAACTGAGTCATGAACGAGTCTGAGAATAGCCGAGACCCGAGTCATCAGAATGAGTGAAAATAAGAGGGGGTGCCCTTGTCTCTGCTATGGTTCAGCGGCCGGGTGGGCTAGTGCTGCTTGGGGTCGCGAACCCCAACTCGAGTGCTAGACGCTAAGTCAAAAAAGATAGCCGCCTTCTAACCTCCGACATAGATATGGGATCCGTGTCTCAAGGCCCACCCCCTCAGACGCTAACATTGAGAATGGAAAGGAATCACCCTAACGAGGCTGTTCGACCTTAGAATGGAAAGGAATGGCCCTAACCAGGCTGTTCGACTTGAGAATGGAAAGGAACAGCCCTAACCAGGCTGTTCGACTTGAGAATGGAAAGGAAT